TCTATTCTATTCTATTCTATTCTATTCTATTCTATTCTATTCTATTCATAGCTATGCACGGTAATATCAAAGGTGCACGGATACACTTTGCACATGCATTCATGTTACACTGACCTGGGTGTCTCTGTAAAGAAAGCAGTCCTTACTTATGCCAAGTCCTGCATCATCACATTAGCCTCTTTGGCTTTCTTGCACATGTACAGCCACTTGATTATCCGAGCATTGCGTTCAACCACAGAGGTGCCATTAGGCACCTGTTCCGTGAGCTCTTCCTCCAGGAGTCCATCTTCATCGCTGTGTCTCGTGAAGTCACTTTCAGAAGCTGCCCCGCTGATGCTGTGGCGGTGGAATGAGAAGTTGTCTGAAGTAACTGAAAAATTCTCTTGGCCTAAATCTTTTATTACTTCAGGTTCAAGGCCACAGTTCTTAAAGAAAGTGTCAAATTCAGAGAAAGATTTTGAATATCGCGAACTGATATCTGACTGAGATCTCTGAAGACCTTTCTGTCTCATCTCCTTTACGTCATAAGGTGTTGAAGTCACATTTAGGGCATTTTTGCATCTGCTGACCAGAAAAGAAGTTGGGTTTGCCTTTGTGGGTGAATTCTGTCCTTCTAGATCATAGCTATGTCTTGTGTCTTTGCCTAAAATAGTCCCTTCCACTTCAGGAATGGTTTCCTCTTTGAGAACAATTTTGGACACCTCAGAAATCAGCTGCTTTTCCTTGAAGGATCCCTGGAACAACCTCCGGACCAAATTCCCACGAGTGTTCTCCTGGCTTTGACCTCGGACAAACTCACATTTCTGACGATAGATCACCAAGGAATCTGGTCGGATCTGCCTTTTACCACTGTTGCGCTTCACAATGGGAGGGCCGCCTTGCAGGGCTACCGAACTCAGCTCTGTGGCCGTGGGAACTTGGGCTGCTGTGTCCTTCTTCTCTCTTGAGAGCTCAACCTTCTTGCTTTCCACCGAGCAAGTCTCGCTGCTACTCTCAGAAGTTGAGCTGAGGGTGACAGCTGGCACCTGCTTCCTGCCGATGACTTGCTGGCTTTTCACGTACTTGGCCTTATCTGCTGCCAACCTTTCCACGGCGCTCTTCCTGCTAGGGTTGGCTGCCTCCATCTGCTTGCGAAGGTACTCTGGACCCTTGTGGAGAAGCCGTGCTGTCAACGAGGAGGGAAAATCAGAGATGGCATGCATTCTCACCATGTGGGAGAGTTCAGTTGGCATAGCAGGCTCAGGTATCCCAAGCTGATTTGTACTTCAGGAAAGAGAAAGAAAAAATTCAAAGCCTTTCTCCTCCTCCTCCTCCTCCTCCTCCTCCTCCTCC